CTGCTGCTGCTGGGGGGGCTCTGCGTGGCCGCCTCGCGCCTGCGGCGGGCCAGGACCAGCCTCGTGCTCGGCGCCGGCATCCTCTTCGTGGCCGCCGGTATGACCCCCAAATCCGCCCCAAAATCCCCGAAATCCACCCCAAAATCCATCCCAAATCCATCCCGGCATCCTCTTCGTGGCCGCGGGTATGACCCCCAAATCCACCCCAAAATCCCTGAAATCCACCCCAAAATCCATCCCAAAATCCATCCCAAAATCCATCCCAAAATCCATCCCGGCATCCTCTTTGTGGCCGCGGGTATGACCCCCAAATCCGCCCCAAAATCCCCGAAATCCATCCCAAAAACCCCGAAAATCCATCCCAAAATCCATAAAAAATCCATCCCAAAATCCATCCCAAAATCCATCCCAAAATCCATCCCGGTATCCTCTTCGTGGCCGCGGGTATGAACCCCAAATCCACCCCAAAATCCCCGAAATCCATCCCAAAAACCCCGAAAATCCATCCCAAAATCCCCAAAATCCATCCCAAAATCCATCCCAAAATCCATCCCAAAATCCATCCCGGCATCCTCTTCGTGGCCGCGGGTATGAACCCCAAATCCGCCCCAAAATCCATCCCAAAATCCCCAAAATCCATCCCAATATCCATCCCGGCATCCTCTTCGTGGCCGCGGGTATGACCCCCAAATCCGCCCCAAATCCATCCCAAAAACCCCGAAAATCCATCCCAAAAACCATCAAAATCCATAAAAAATCCATCCCAAAATCCATCCTGAAATCCATCCAAAAACCCATCCCAAAATCCATCCAAAATCCATCCCAAAATCCATCCCAAAAAACATCAAAATCCATAAAAAATCCATCCCAAAATCCATCCCGAAATCCATCCCAAAAACCCCAAAAATCCATCCCAAAATCCATCCCAAAAATCCATCCCAAAATCCATCCAAAATCCATCCCAAAAACCCCAAAAATCCATCCGAGAATCCATCCAAAATCCATCCCCAAAAACCATCAAAATCCATAAAAAATCCATCCCAAAATCCATCCCCGAAATCCATCTCAAAAACCATCCCAAAAACCCCAAAAATCCATCCCAAAATCCATCCAAAATCCATCCCAAAAACCATCCCAAAAACCCCGAAATCCACCCAAAATCCATCCAAAAATCCATCCCAAAAAACTTCAAAATCCACAAAAAAATCCATCCCAAAACCCATCCCAAAACCCCCAAAATCCATCCCAAAATTCATCCCTTTTTTTTAATTTTCCCCCATTAAAAAATCTTTTCCCCCCATATATTTTTAATTTCAAATTTTTAATTTCCCCCCATTTTTTCCCCCCCATTAACGAATCATTTAACCCCTTCGCTGCCAGGCCTGTCCAACATCGCCGCCGCCATCCTTTCCATCATTCCCCTTTTTTAATAATTTCCTTTACATTTTCCCCCGATTTTTTTAATTTCTCCCCATTTTTACCTCTTTAATTAATTTCCCCCCCCATTAACGAGCCATTTAACCCCTTCCTGGCCAGGCCTGTCCAACATCGTCGGCGTCATCGTTTACATCATTCCCCTTTTTTAACCATTTCCTTTACATTTCCCCCGATTTTTTTAATTTCTCCCCTTTTTTACCTCTTTAATTAATTCCCCCCCATTAACGAATCATTTAACCCCTTCGCTGCCAGGCCTGTCCAACATCGCCGCCGCCATCCTTTCCATCATTCCCCTTTTTTAACCATTTCCTTTACATTTCCCCCGATTTTTTTAATTTCTCCCATTTTTTACCTCTTTAATTAATTTCCCCCCCCATTAACGAGCCATTTAACCCCTTCGCTGCCAGGCCTGTCCAACATCGTCGGCGTCATCGTTTACATCTCGGCCAACTCGGGCGAGGGCTCGGCGGGGGGGGTGGGCGCGGGCGGGGTCCCCTCCCCCCGGTACGGGGGGGTGGGGGGAGGG